ACGTCCTAGAAGCTTTCAGACGGGTGACCTCGTCCTGAAGAAAATTCTTCCGCCACACTTCGATCACCGGGGCAAGTGGACTCCGAATTACGAAGGGCCGTATGTCGTCAGCAAGGTCTTCTCGGGAGGAGCTTTGCTGTTATCCACGATGGATGGTGAAGACTTCGCATCCCCGGTGAACGCGGACGCAGTTAAAAAATACTTTGCTTGAAAGAGACCCGCTGGACAAAAAAGAAAGAGTCCAGGCAAAAAAGGGGCATCCCGGCGAACCAAAAACAGAATAAAAGGTTCGGGCAAAAATTAGGGATATATTGAAAAATGTACACCCGCGAAGTCGAAAACCTACACTGGGCGGCTTTGGCAAAAAAGGGTATCCCGGTGAACTGAAAACCCGTAAAGGGCGGTTCACCCCAAAGTTAGGGATTTGAATAAGCAAATGACTGCGTTCCGCGTGTGAACTTTCATTGTTTAATGGTTTGGAAGACCTGAGGGCCGTTTATCTGAATCAATCTCTTCCGAAGCTGAAGCGTCGGAGAAGTATCGAAGTCGAGTGGGTCTTAGAGGGATCAACTCATGGTGTTCGTCTACGCCTCGTTGCCGACATTTGTATATACTGATGTATATTTATGTTTTATTTTTGCGCGGCTTCCTCATTCCAGGAGCTTGCCTCTGTTGTAAAACATTTTTGCCCGTTCAGGGGTTCATCATCAATAAAATGCACATTAATCAGCAATTCTGCTTGTCTGTTTAGCATTTATCTGTTTTGTTTGCGAATGAAAACGCCGATGTTTTTGATAAAATGCGCATACATAAACTTACGGGCCTAGGCCCATTGATTGTTGAAATAATTAATTACCTGAATATTGTCACGAGATAACAACCTGGAAGCCTCCTAGTACTTTCCTGAGGAAGGTCCTATGAGTCTGTTCATTTAGTTCCACTAGTTCAGATAGGATTTCCTAAATATCCAGTGATGTTGGGGCCTGCTTGTGAGTTTAATTTCTCCTGAGGAGGAATGTAAACTGATCACAGTGGTTGAGCCACATAGGGTATGACTCCTGAGTATACACCTCCTAGTGCTTTCCTGAGGAAGACACTATGAGCCTGCCTACTTAGCTCCCTTTCTTTGGTAAGCTTGTTCTGAAGCTTGAAGACTGGGATTGTTTTCTCTTGTTTAGGGTTTTGCTTTAGGGCTTTGCTTAGATTTGATCAGGATTCTGTTGTAAGGTTAGGATTAGGATTGGAGAGTAGATGATTCTTTCTCAAGCATGTGTTTTGTTGGCCTGATGGCACTTTATTTCTTTTACTGTTTACTGCTTGATAGCATGTGGGTTATTTTTCAGTATGATTACTGTTATTTCATGACTGGCTTGAGGTTGAGACGAGCTTGTGGAGGCTGAAGCCCCACACACATTTCCTCCCTCACTTGCATTGCACGCATTTTACTGTTAAAGCTGATGCTTTTGTCTGTTTTGGTGTATCATTGACGATCCCTTAGGACTCTCATTCCCTTTGATAAGGATTTGATGATAGACTTTTAGGTTGAAGCCTATGCATGACAACATCTAGGAGTTCCCTGTTCAAACCTCAACCATAGGATGAATCCATGGCATGACAACAGTAGGACTTGATAGTCTCCCTCCTAGTTGGGCCTGTTCTCTTCTCACCTCAAAACAGTTTAAGATACAGTAATCATGAATGATTTCTTTCGTAGGTTACGAGCCTTAAGCTATCTGAGAAAGGACGCATTCCCTCTCAGGTCATAGTCTCTAATGCGGTTGAAATCGCAAACACAATAAAAAACACTTCTTTCAGGAGATAACCCGTAGTTAGCCGAACTACGTTTGCTCTGATCTTCCATACAGTGTGGAAGTACGTAGGCATGGGATGCGATATCCTAGCGAGCAACCTTCACCCATTTCCCCATAATCCTTCGTAGGCCGAACTACGTTGACTCTGATTTCTCATTCTCTGATGAGAATACGTAGGCATAAAGCGCGATGCTTTGCCGAGTCATTTTTCTTTTCTTTTTCAGCCAGCCTTGATAGGTAGATAGATTATAACCAACCCGTCCAAGTAAGCAAACAAGCGAGGATCCCGTCGAGTACAACGGACGTGAGGGGTGCTAATACCTTCCCCTTGCGTAACCGACTCCCGAACCCAGACAATGGTTGCGATGACCTTGTCTTACCCTTTTTCGTCAGGTTTTTCCGATCGTTTCCTTTCCCGCTCTGAGGGATAAATAACGAAAGGTGGCGACTCTTCTGTTTTGCTGTCACCTTATTTTCGCGCAAGCGACACCAGGGTCACTCCATTCTTAGTGGATGCCACCGAGGTCGCTCTCGAGTCTCTCAGATTCCAAAAAACTATCTGAGGCACAACATAACCATACCCTTTCTCTTTATACTTCCTAGTGATTACTTGGTAATCTGTCTCCCAAGAGTTTGCAGAAGCTTGATCAAACTCCATGTTATTGAATACAAATATCAGATGAGTTTAATGCACAGAACCTGACATTAACTTGATGTTTTAGCATTTTATATTGGCGTACACTTAGTATATATGTATGTAGTTTACTGTACTCGTATAACATACTTATATGTGATTCCATTTGGACACTTATGAACCTACTCATGTAGCATGAATAAATGCTTTAATTAATACGATTTATAAGTGTATTTTATTGGGGTTACTGCCAAAGAACTAATAATATATATATATTTTGGGTGTGTTTGATTCAAAGTTAAAAATCTAATCATTAATTGGAATGATATTTTCATGATGATTATTTCTAAGAATATTATTCCTACACATGTGTTTGGTAGAAATTTACATTTATAATTGTAATATTTGTTTAATTTATAATTATTATAAATTGAAAATTGAAATAAATATGAGGGGTAGTTGGAAGTGACAGTTGATTGAATGTATTCTCATGAAATTGTTGTTTCCCCATCGTTTAAGCCTTGGAATAAAAGTAGAAGCAGTGTGTGTAAATAATATTCTTAAGAATAACAAATACCTTTGAATAATTGCTTAATTAACAAATATTTGAGTATTGCATTCTCATAGCTATATTCGCATAGATAATTTTTTAACCTTGAAGGAATATACACACACAAAAACGCGTAGTTAAAAGAATACAATTTATGATAATAAAAAAATATATTTTAATAACCAATTTTATTAATGAAAACATTACATATATAAGATTGAATTTTCTCTTACATAAATTGACTGGCTTATATAAACTAGAAGAGTTGTAAATATTCATGGCTTGATATCACTAGGTGAAGAAGGAGAAAGACAACAAGGAGGCTTATCAAACGCCGTTGGCTAGCAGGTTGAAATGGTTACACAACAAGGATCTAAACCTTGAACATTACCAACCGAAACTAGCACAGAACATTTTCAACAGAGTTTTCTTTGTTATAAAGTTTGGCTTACTCGATTATAGATTGTCAGGCGGAGTGTTCAGACCAACTATGGATGATTGTCAGGACTTCCACGTGAAAGTAGGGATGATCAGCTCGTGCTCATCGTCCAGGGTCAACCACTCCGCACTTCTTGAATAGTAAATGGACTTTCCCTTACGAAGGGTCAAACATCTTCGAGAGGAGAGTGGGTTCAGTTGGTGATGTGTCATCGGATGAGGGGCACGTGGGAAATGTGTTCTCCACTAGCCCTAACGGGTTGGGATCACTCTGGGCCGCCCTCGATATAGAAATGGATTGGGTTGTGTCCGACGTTGGGTCAGCCAGAGGCCTAGTCCAGAATGCTTCTCTTACAGTTTAATTTGAATAAAAACAATTGATTGACCAATAAATTGATGTTATTCAAATTAAACTAGAATTAAAGGAATTGATGTCATGAAGGAATTAGACCATTGAACCACATTCTATATGTTAAAGAGCGGGAAATGAATGATGAGACACATGCAATTTGGAAAATGGTTCTTTGTTTAAATTGGTTTTCAAGAATAGTTTAATTTTCAGATTATATACTTCTTCATCAATTTGAATGGTTGTATTTCTTTAGTGAGGTGTATGAAAAAATAAGCAATCTACATATTATATAATAAACTCTGGGTACGTTGAACAATGGTTATATATTTTATTTTATCCGTGATTAAATGTTATTTACGTTCCAACTAAATTTGGCTTGTGGGTTTCGAACCAAATACTTAAATGTATATATAACAACGGTTGATATAGGTAACTGTTATGATAGGTAGCGCGCGTCCTGCCTTATGACACGGTCTCGCTACCGTGGTTGAAAGCACCAAAAATACAATCACCTCTTTACCTCACAACGGTTGGTCAGACGTTATAGTATACATTTTTCAACCGTTGTGGTATGACTTTTTCGTAGTAGTGAATACTTTCTCTTGACTTTCTTAACTTTTGTTGGTGTTGAATTTTTCTTTCTCGACTTCCTTTAGGTGGACTTTTTCTTAATCGCGATTTAAATACCCCTAATACTCATATAAGATAACCTTGCTTAAAAAAACACATATACATTTTTAATACTGTTTTTTCCTATTAGTACCTATTTATATTAAACTCATTTTTGTCTTTTTATAACATATTTATTAAACCCATTTTTTATTTAAAATTTTCAAAAAGTATAAAACACAAAAATTCAACAAAACAACAAAATAACTACGAAATAAAAGTAATTATATATAAATGCTGAAAATATATATATATATATATATATATATATATATATATATATATATATATATATATATATATATATATATATATATATATATATATATATATATATATATATATATATATATATATATATATATATATATATATATATATATATATATATATATATATATATATATATATATATATATATATATATATATACTACCTAATCTCAGTTATAAATTGTTTCACTAGTTGAGAAAACCAATAGTATACCAAGCTCGATAGGATCATGTCATTTTGTAAAACATTTTGATATTTCAAATTTATTTCAATTTATATATTCAAGGTAAAAAGTTTGTACTTAACTAAAATCAAAATCAAAATCAATATAATAACAAAAACAACAGCAAAAATGACAACAGCCCAAACATTAAAATCTGGTGCTTTTCTATCTTTCTCCGCTCGTTCATCATATACGACAATAGGACTTCTCACTTGATATTCACCATCATCCCAAATTAAAGAAGCAGATCTAATAGGCTCTTTTATGGATCCATCTATTGTAAGAATGTATGTCTGCCTTTCCCCTAATGAACTGAAAGACAAAACATCAGGCTTCACTGAGATGTTGAGTCCATCAGGAAATGTGAGAAATGCTCTATATGTGGAGGATGGTGATCCAATATTTGTTACGGTTCGTTTGAAGGTCCCTCTTATGTGATGCGGATTTAATGCTTTTAAAGCAAAGGACGGATAATTTAAATCTCGTGCTGATGTATATGATACATTGTAATAACTATCTGAATTTCCAGTGATTTTTGTTAAAACGGATTTATTGTAGCCCAGTGTACATAAGAATCTTATGTAATCCATTTTTTCAGCATCATATATTAACCCGGGATTTAAAGCCTTCACCGGGTCAATTTGACCGGCTCCGTAAGCAAATTCGGCATCATGATTATTTATAGCACTCATTAGTTTGGCTGCAACACACAAGAAACACATGATTGATATTTGCTTATATTAAATTCAATCAGTAGCAAGTAACACATGAAGAAAAATAGTATCAAGTAACATTGAAGAAACATTTAAAAAATTCCTTTATATTGCTCTCTTAGTGTGATCGTAATACCTGTTGTCATCAAAGCTGATCGGATAGCAGCAGGAGACCAACTACGGCGGAAGGATTTGATGTATCCTGCTGCACCTGATACATGTGGACATGCCATTGATGTTCCGGACACAATGCTAGTTAATATTTTTCAATTAAAGTAAATAAGATTACGCCTATGTCTCAAAATTCATAAATCTTTTTGCCATACAAGTTTTGTCTCTCCTAAATTCGAAAGTGTATTCGATAATACCTTAGGTTAAAATATTACAAAGCTTGGAAAAATTAGGGATTCGCTTATAATTAGTCAACAATGGTAGAAATTAAATTATCTTCAAATTCAAATCCATAATTTTACAATTTACAACACAAAGCAATAATATAAGAAAAGAAAGATTACCATATACCAATGAAGAGAATGGTGACGGTGGTGAGCTGATGAAGGGCTGAGTTCGACGGAGAATGGGTTTTCTTTGTTCTTTATTTCCCGTGTTTCCTCTTTCTATTCGAGTGGTGAATCCAAGGTGAATCTGAATCGACTGTGTTTCCTCTTTCCGGTGGTGAATCGATGAATGAAGGAAGAATATGGCGTGAGTAAATCAGAGGAAGAAGATGAGTGAGTGGATACCGTGTTTTGAAGGAAGGCTAGCTCAATGGTGTGAGTAAATCAGGGGAAGAAGATGAATGAGTAAATCAGAGGAAGAAGATGAGTGAGTGGAAGAACGTGTTTTGTTTTTTGCGGTAGTAGCAAAACTTTTGTGCCCCAAAACACAAAATATCAATTCGGGAAAACACTTTGGTTTTTTAATTAATTTTATTATTTATTATATATTTTATAATATAGTCTAACAATAGCGTTTTTTTGAAAAGTGCTATTTTAGTGAAAATTTTTAGTAGAGTTTTTTTGAAAAGCGCTATCTTAGTGAAGAATATTAATAGCGTTTTAAAAAAAACACTATCTTAGTAAAGTTTAATAATGGCATTTTTTTACAAAGCGCTATCAAAATCACATTTTGTTTTTTTTAATAGTACTTTCTTTAAAAGCGCTATCTTAGTGAAGAATATTAATAGCGTTTTAAAGAAAGCGCTATCTTAGTGAAGTTTAATAATAGCATTTTTTTACAAAGTGCTATCAAAATCACATTCTTTGTACTCTATAATAGCCCCCGACTATAAAGTGCTATTATAGATGTGTTTGTTTCCTTTTTAATAGCACTTCCTTTAAAAGCGCTATTAAATTAGGCAATACAAAATTTCAATTTTGGCGTAGTGTTGGCGAGGTGACCGAAAGAGAGATTTAGGTATGTGGTGTTACTGCGGTATGTGTTTGTGAAATACCTTCGTTAATGGACAATTACCAAGAGAACTAGTTTTAACCGATCGAAAGAAAGACTTGTGTATGAGTATCGACACACCTTACCTTCATAAATATTTTATTGGATGTGTACCGCTTGATCTAAAAAATGTTTATCCAAGCTTGTTGCTTGAGGTCAAGCAACGGTTTAAGTTTGGGGGAGTTTAATCAGTGATTTAAGCAACAGTCAAGAACATTTTCAACAGAGTTTCCATTGTTATAAAGTTTGGCTTGCACTGAAAATAAAAGAAAATATTGCATAATAAGCCATATGTTCAAGACATATGTGTTAATTTATAAGAGTAACTAGAATCAATTAAAATATAACATTAATGATATTTTTATTAAATTTAATATATAACTTATTTAACTATCCAAAAACTAGTCTTTTGAATATATTTCAGTCAAACATAAAAGAGAATATATTATAACATAATTCAGAAATATTAATATAGCTTTACATAAAATTTAGTAAAATCTATAAAGTTTAATAATTTATAAAATCCTTTAGTAAATCGTAAAAAATATATCTTTTGGACCTAATATAATATTTTATTTTATTTAGTCAAAAAATAATTTAAGTTTATTGATTAGATGATAAAAAGTAGGCTTTATTTCTTTTATTACATCATAATAGTGTGATGAATATGTTTCAGTCAAAGTTTTAAATGAATACATTATTACATGTTCCGAAAACATTAATTTAGTATTATTAAGTATGTTTTAGAAAATATGGGGAAATTTGATCACTGTATTTTAATACCGTGTCTTGTTCTTTGTACTAAGAATTTTATGTGACTTTTCACATTATTTTAGGATTAAATGCACTTTTGGTCCCTATAAGTTGTTGTGTTTTTTATTTTAGTCCCTATAATTTATTTTTTTAATGTCTGAGTTCCTATATCTCACTTTTGGGTTGGTTTTAGTCCTTAAAGTTAAAATTTGCAGCAAAATCTGATGTTTTCCTGCGGATTTTGTCTTTAAGGATTAAAACCAACACAAAAAGTGAAATATAGGGACTCATACCAAAAAAGCCTTAATTGCAACTATGGTCCCCATACTTTGCATTTTTTTAGGTTTTGATCCCTCCATTTTAAAAACCACCATTTTGGTCCCTTTTTTAAATTTTGAGTTTGATTTTAGTCCCCTCTCCCATTTGAGACATTTTTTTAATAATGTGGCGCTATCTAAGATGACGTGGCAATGACAAGTCATTTTACAATTAATTTGAGACTTTCATTATTGATTAGGATAATTAATTTATTATTATTCATTAATAAATAAATAAACTATTAATTTTTTATTATTAACTTTTATATTTAATTAATTAATCAAAATTTTGTATGAAACACTTTCGACCTAATCTTTTTGTCCCATGTCTTTGGTCCATCTTTTTAACACACAATTGATTTGTTGTGTTTGTGTAAGATATATAAACACTAACAACATTTTTAATGAAAACAATGTGGGACTTTGGTGGGTTGATGACTTTGTAAGCTAAATAATAGAAACTATCACTTCCTGCTTCCTTTTTCCTCCAATAATACCGTAAAGAATACATCTTCTCTATAATGGGAATGGATTGACTAACTTTGGTGGGTTGGAGACTTTGTAAGCTAAATAATGGAAACTACCACTATCACTTACCTTTTACACTGTCAACAACAACAAAATATTTCACTGTCAACAACAAAAAAAATAACCACACTATCACTTACCCTTTACACTCAATTTTATCTTTTCAAAGTCTTGAAATAAACTTAGGCTATGTTCATGTTCATTATGAATGACTATATTGACTACCAGTAAAACGTTGTTGTTGTGTAATGAATGAAAATGAATAAAATACACCAATTCACATAAATTGTTGGGTAATAATTGACCAAAATTGTTACTAGGTAAATCCCACATTAGAATTTAATATTCTTAAAACGTTTTCAATTTTCTATTTACTAGACAGTAAAATTGTATTTTCTAAAAATATTAGATGATTACATAACAATATACAGACATTGTTAATACCCTAACCATAATGAGTTTTCAGACTAAAACATGAAGATTTTGAAGAAAACTCATGTAAAAAAATTATGTTGATTATTATATTTAAGGAATGGCAATATTAGTCAACTAAAAATTGGAGGTGAAGTAAAATGTGACACATGCTCTTTACAGATTTAAAAACATTACATACATTCCTTAATTGTACATGTTAAAATCCACAAAACACTTGCCCTGTTCTTGAGCACCCAAGTCCACCAATATATCTCAATAAGATCTGAAGGATTTTAAGTCCAACAATGCCTAATTACCAAGAGTTCAAGATAACCATGGCAAAATAAAATCCAACTACTTCCAATAATACTAGCTTATTTTGGGTTCTTTAGAACAATGATGACAAAATCTCCACGAAGGAACATCTTGCTGATGAATCTATCCTTGTTCACTGGCTGAGCTTTTTTCTTTCCTTTACCAGTCTTAGGCACCTGTAACAATTACAATATTCAGCTAATATAATAACTTAACAAATAGAGAAGTAAAAAAGCAAATTTAAATAAACAAAGCATACAAAGGTACCTGTAACAATTACAATATTCAGCTAATATAATAACTTAATTCATTTTTCCATTATTTAGCATACAAAGTCACCAACTCACCAAATTTAGCCAATCCATTTCCATTATAGAGAAGATGTATTCTGTACAATATTATTGGAGGAAAAAAGAAGCAGGAAGTGTGTAATTGAACCATTACACAGTAGAGCAAAAAATCAGTTGGAGAAAATTCTAATTATGAGTCCCACATTGTTTTCATTACAAATATTGTTAGTATTTATATATCTTACACAAACACAATAAATCAATTGTGTGTTAAAAAAATGGACCAAAGACATGGAACTAAAATGTTAGGCACAAAGTGTTTCATATAAAATTTTGATTAATTAATTAAATATAAAAATTAATAATAAAAAATTAATAATTTATTTATTTATTAATGAAAATAATATTAATAAATTAATTATTCTAATCAATAATTAAAGTCTCAAATTAATTTTAAAATGACTTGGCATTGCCACGTCATCTTGGATAGCGCCACATCATTAAAAAAATATCTTAAATTGGAGAGGGACTAAAATCAAACTCAAAACTTAAAAAATAGACCAAAATTGTGATTTTTAAAATGGAGGGATCAAAACCCAAAAAAATACAAAATAGGGGGACCATAGTTGCAATTAAGCCACCAAAAAATAATTACAAGGATCAAAATTAAAAAACTCGCTAACTTAAAGGGATCAATAGACTATTTAAGCCTTATTTTAATTGCTTTTAATAGATTTTTAAAAGTTTAGTCGTGATCTGGTTGTTTTTTAAATAAGTGCTTATTTTATGAATAAACAGTTATTTACACCATTTCGTTTTTCAAATCATAACTTGAGCTACGATAACCAGATTGACGTATTATAATATGTGTTGGAAATATGAGAGGATAAGCTAAATGTTTTAAGTAGAATTTATATGCAAATTTGGAGTGCAGAAGAGTCGCATAATACATTTTCAATTCAGACTTAGAAAATACTTATTTTTTAGACCTATTTATGGAAATAAAATAATTTTCACACAAATTAAACATTGGAAGGAATAATATAGTGTTGGCCTGTCCGACAGTAACATGTTGATAAATGAATATATAAATAAATATGTTGCGGTTAGAATATGATATCAAATTATTAATTAATTTGAATCGCATCTTTAGTTCACAACCGCTCT